TTAATGAGTTTTTTGGGTTCATTGAGAACATGGTTGTTGTTCAATAATAAAATTATTCCTCAAAAATACAACTTGCCTAATAATTCTGCACTCCCTGTATGCAACACCTCTCTGACATGAAGAAATTGTTCAATATTTAAACCAATTTTCTGCATATTTCAACATGTTTTTAGTAGAAGTGGAACAGCCGGAGCTTTGCCCAGTGCTGCAGCGGTCATGTCAGTGGGGAGATCCAGGGGTTTCTCTGTGAATTTCACATTCCCGTGGCAGCGTGCTAGATACTTGCTCTGTAGATTAGGGTTTTTTTTACGCTGTAAAAAGAAGTTTACTTCTCACACAGTGTACAGCGGATGCTAATGTTTTTGTCACTTTTTACAGAATCAAACTCAAACTAAGGTCAGTACTTCCATGCTTTAAATGCTGCACGGTCATACTCTCTCCTGCCCTCTATATATTATCCATTGTTGCTCTGCCCATGTCTGTTACCATGAACGTCGCACTTGCTTATGTCATTGTCATGAGACACTCACAAACCAAATCACAGTGTAGTAACGCAGTAATGCAGCATGCTTGCGGGAAAGTAAGGGTAATCTAATTACTTTTTGCAATAGTAATCCCTTACTTTACTCATTACTTGATAAAAGTAATCTGATTACAAGTGTTACTGCCCATCTCTGATTGTACCCATGTTTGGCTTGACAAAAAATGAGCTCAGGAGTTAGAGTAGATCATCTACTCACTGGAAGGTTTAAAAACTGCCTGCTCCTGTCTGCATGCCAAAGTGTACTTAGATGTTGAACCCTGATCTCACTGGAATATTACTGTTAGATAAAAATAACATGCAAATGTAGAAAAGAAGTGCGCTGATTAACCAGTCACACATTACAGAACTCGTTCCTGTGTGCTAGTGTTAAAATAGACACACTGCCAGTTAAATAGTGCCACACTTCTGACAAATTTAAAAGCAATAAACATAAAAGGCAAAAATATATGAGCTTTACTATAATTATGTAAAATCAACACAAAAACTGCATCTGAATATCTGAAGCAGTTACAATAATGATTGATTATGATAATTGATTATTTCATCTTATAATCTGCTGCCATTTTAAGGTAACTGAAATTGTACTAACCTGTGTGTCTAAGAGTCCTCTGCTGTGCCGCTGGAAGAATGAATTTATTTAATGTTACTCTTCCTTGTTATGGAAATACACTGAAACCTTTTCAGGCAAGCGTGCACACACCCATGACTGCGAGCAACCAATAAATTCTTTCGCTCACCTGAGCTTGTTTGCGTAAGAGCACATCCGTAAATCTATAGGATGTAAGATGCAAGTTGGGACAAAGTACACTGAGAGGCACTAATTG